CCCCACTCTTTAAATCAACCCCGCCCATCCTTCTCATCTCCTAACCAAAGGAACCCCCCAAAATCCGTCGTTTCCCGCGTGATCCCTCGGTAACTTGGGGAGAAATCCACGGCCGCAAAGAGCACCTCGTTTCCCATGTGATCATCTCCGACTACCTCAAATCCCTCGGCATCATCCCCGACGAGCTCGCCCCCATCGAGCTCCCCTCCACAATCGACGTCATGAGAGAGCGAATAGAGTTCTTGACCAAGCTCGCCCTCACCGTCGGACTTTCTTAGGGGGAGGGGGTTTTCCGATGGAGATGTGGCTAGAATGGTTGTCAAGTGCCCGTAGTTACTTGTGCTTCGAGTTGAGGTGATGAAGAACACTTTTTACTTCGTTAAAAGTGAGATGAGAAGGTTGCAGGGTGATTATATTGAAGGAGAGACTATGGGGCCTTCGTTTGTTATGGGTGGGAAATTGGATATGCCTGGGAACGAAATGGTATCTGATGAAGAGGACGATGAGAGTGATAGTGTGGTGCTCTTTAGGCTGGTGCTGGCTATATCTCTAAGTTATATACTTCACATTTTTTTTATAATGAAAGGAACTGATAATTTGAATAACAAGCATTAATGTAACTAATAAGCTACATTCTAGCAATTTTGGTCTGGTACTATTTCTGCTGTTTTAGGCTTCGTAGCCGCCAGCTGCTCAGTGAAATGCCCGTTCGGCAAACGAAGAAGGTGGGCGTCTCTACGTCCGACGAGTATGGAGCCTTATCAGGTAAGGCTTCGACAGGCCCTTTTATGTCGGGTGAGATTCACGGGTTTGTCGAGGCTCTGGTGGCGTACAGGTTCTCGGATTTCTTCACATGAGGAATTCTTCACATGAGGCATTACTTCTTGCTTTCTTCTTATAGAATAATCAGTCCTTATCTCTAGCTAAATGATTCATGAGGAGCCCATTACTCATTTTGAATGATCATCTTTCTATAAAATAATTGCACACTCGACATTCATGCTTAGTAGAAAACGTTGATGATTAAGTTCTTGAATAATTATGACATTGTTGTTAAGAATGGGAAGTTTCTTTAACTGATTCTATACTTTCAGTTGTTTCTTTAAATTCTTGCAGGTAAAAAACAGGAAGTCATTGTTCCACCAAAAAGGAAAAAAGAGTAAGATTATTGCATGTAGAACAGAGACATGTTTATTATAACAACATTTTTATTATAACAACTACGATGACATATTTAAGTTTTACAGGAGTGGCGACTCTATTTCGTGACAATTACATAAGCTCGGTGCTCCAACTTTGGTGTCAACTTAAGGCTCACAACCTATGGACATGAAGTCTGATACACCCACGAAGGAGAATGCAGTTGCAAAAGTTGCTCTTGAGGAAAATGATGCGGTCAAAACCGATAAAAATGGTAAAGTTACCACAGAGGAGGATGCTCAATCTGCATCGGAACCCCAGCTGAGGAAGAGAAAGACGAGCCTTCACATTTAATTACTAAAGGGGATATTGTCAGCCCCTATTAGCTTTGTATGGTAAAAGTTTGTAAACAATTTATATATCTCTCTAATATTTTGGTGAATGTATTATTTGAATATAATTGGATTTGATATTTGAATATAATTAGATTGTGTTGGATATGAATATAATTCGTCATTGTTCAATATTGTGCACATGCACTCAAAGTAGATTCTAAACGAAAATTCCGTCTAGGATGTTCCGTCTAGGATTATCCTAGACGGTTTTGAAATCCGTCTAGAGTAATCCGTCTAGGATGTATTCTAGACGAAATTTCCGTTTAGAATACTACATCCTAGATGGAAACTTCCTAGACGCGTATTGTAGACGGAATTCCGTCTAGAATACGCATCCTAGACGGAATTTTGAGTATCCTAGACGGAATTTTCCGTCTAGGATACCTTATTTTTTACTTGTGAATGAAGTAAATAGGTCCAAGTGTATCAAGAATAATCATCAATAAAGACCACATAATATTAAGCTCCACCCATAGAGACAACAGGAGCTTTACCCCAGACATCAGAGTGCACAAGATCAAAAGGAGAGCAGGAAGTAGATGTACTATTATTAAAGAGAAGAACTGGTTGTTTGGCCAATTTACAAGCAATACAAGAGGGATCTTTGTCTGAAGTAGCTGGTCCTAACAATCCTTTATTTATCATGTATTTTAGGCGAGGAAAGGAAACATGACCTAATGGAGAATACCAAGGGATAAAGGAGGATGAGTTGGTAGTAAGATCTGTGAGAGATGAGTTAGTGGAAGATGGAATCTGTAACTTGTCTGCCACATATAGTGATCCAACTATATGGCCGGTCCCAACTTGTATCCCTGTTGAGCGGTCCTGTACAACAAAGCTAGTAGCATGAAAGATAATGATTAGCCCAAGGTCACATAACTGTCCAACAAATAAAAGTTGCATAGATAGTTGAGGAACAAGAAACACATTTGAGACAGATAAACCGTTGTTAGTTTTTATGGAGACAATGTGACTAGCAGCAATCGTAGAGCCATTAGCTGTATGAATCTATGCAGATGAGCCAATAGGCCTGGATGACTCTAAGTGTGTTGGGTCAAAAGTCATGTGGTTTGACGCCCTAGAATCAAGAAACCACGGAGAGAAGATACCTGATGGAGGAGAGAAGGCAGATGCAATTGTATGATGATCCAGATTGTCGATTGAGGTAAACGCGGCGGATAGCCTGGTGGATTTTTGTAGGCCGCGCATGTACCAAGATGTAGGAGAAGGACAATATTTAACAATATGCCCAAATTCCTTATAGTAGTTATATTGCATTGGGTCTTTGGATGAATGAAGGATGCTTGCTGAGGGCATGGTGATGAATTGGTGGTGGCTAGTTTGGAAAAGGGCTGCTGTGAGGAGGAGCCGTGATGAAGACAAAGGACATGTTCGGTGCAATTCCCTTGCGAGTTTCTTCGATGATCATCTCTGTCAAGGCTTCCTCAATAGAAGGGAGAGGCTTGCAGTGAAGCATAGAAGCTCTGATTGGCTCAAACTCTTCTCGGAGCGCCATAAGGAATTGAACAAGTCGTGTTTCCTCATGAAAGGTTCCCCACAAGTTCATATCAACAGTCCACTGTGGTTCCATTAACTCAAGCTGATCCCAAATAAGACACATGCTGGAGTGAAAATCAGAAACTGTCTAACTAGGCTGTTGTTGGAGAGCACATATATCCTGTTCGAGCTTGTACTTTTTGGTAAAGTTGGTTTGAACATAGCATTATGCTAGGAAGTCCCAAGCTTTCTTTACAGTGGTGCACTTTCCATGTTGAATACTGATGGATGGGATGATGGTATTTGCCATCCACGTTAAGATTTTATTGTTGTTGATTTCCCATTCATCAAACTTGGCTCTTTGCCCGTGACATACTTCCAAAGGCCCTTGCCTTTCAAAAAATTCTGAAACAGCATAGACCAATGATTATAATTATTTCCATCAAGTTTAACGGTTATAGGAATTTGAATTTCAGATTTATTCATAATGAACAATCAAAAAAAGGAATAAAGTCACAGAGGGTGAAGGAGGAGTTTGTTAGGTCCTTTTGTTTTGATGATGATTTACAAACAATTTACTTCTAATATTGTTTGTCTAGTGTTTATGTTTTTCTATTTATTACAGACAAACAATACGTTGGAGGATGGATGGAATCGAGTATTTACGATCATATCTAATATAGGTTGGCGGAATAATGGAGTGAAGCAATGTAATTCATGTTGAAGATCCAAGTTCAAGCTTCATCCGCAAAGTATACTAAGTTGAGCTACATCGAAGATCAAGATTACTTGGGTAATTTAGTTTTAGGTTTATATTATGTGTGTTAAGTACTTTAAGCTTAATATCATATATACACACATACACATTTTGGTTTATATATATATATATATATATATTATATATCATAATTACTATATATATATTATATATATATATATACTATATATATATATATATATATATATATATATATATATATATATATATATATATATAATATATATAGAGAGAGGAGAGAGTAGAGAGAGAGATTAATAGTGTATCCTTGTCATTGAGGGGATTCCTCTTGACGCCTCTAAATCACATGATTGAGCGACATTATGGATGATCCGCTCCGTTGAACTTGATCTACATATTCTAAAACCCCAACATACCAAGTTTGGGGCTGAATCCGTCGTCTTTTGACCTCCATCGAGCCATGTGAAAGTTCTATTTCATTCAAACCGTTAAAATCGATACGAGTGGATGAAGGGTTCAACGACGACGGGTTCACCCCAAACTTGGTGTGTGGGGTTTTAGAATATGTAGATCAAGTTCAATGGAGCGGATCATCCACAATGTCGCTCAATCAATGTGATTTTAGAGGCTTCAAGGGAGAAATCCCCTCCTATGATAAGGATACCCATTAATCTCACTATATTATATATATATTATATATAATATAATATATATATATATATATATATTATATATATATATATAATTATTATATATTATATAATATAATATATTATATTATATACTATATTAATATATATACATGTTTTAGTTTTATAATTTTCAAGTTTATACAAAAATGAATACAAAAATAAATTTGTGAAAATATTGAATTATTTGTTTATGGACTTCATAACAATATTTTATATCAATTCATTAAGTCTATAAAATCATTTTATAAAAGTTTCAATATTGTGTTTATGTCAAATGACAAAAACATGCATGTTTAGTTTTCATATTTTTGGACATATTTGAAAAATGATAAGTTTTCACAATTGAGAAGTGCAATTCCAAAAAAAAATTGTAACATATTCATTTACATGTTTAAAATGATTTCCCAAAGTTTTATATTTTTTAGAATTTATTTGCTATTTTAAAGGTACTTCAAAAACCAGTTTTACTATTTGATTCAGGCTAATAACCTGTTATCAGTCGACTGATAACATCAGTTGACTGATGTGTTGACTGAAGAAATCGTCTGAAATAACAAAAAGTTTCTGTTTTGTTTTAGTCGACTGACCAGTCGACTGATGAGGTTATCAGTCAGCTGACCATGCTCATTAGTCGACTGATGAGGTGTTGCTGGCCTGTAATGGTCAGCTCATCAGTCGACTGATCAGTCGACCGACGACATAATGACTAGTTTTTCTAGATTTTTATGTTGTCGTTATTTCGTCTTTTTGTTGGGATTTCTTAGGTTTTTGGGCTTTGTTTCTTGATCCTATATATACCCCTTGCTCTCTAACATTTTGAAGTAATTAAGAAAGTTTTTAAACAAGTTTAAAGGATGTTTAAGTTTGTTTTAGTGTTTGTTTTAAGTTTGGTTTTGTGAAGCAATTTTCACAAGAGCTAGAGGAGATCACCATTTGTGTTTGAGCTTCAACTATTTTCTCTCTCCCTCTTATTATCTATAGAGATGTTTTACTAAACTCAATCTAGATTTACATTTATATTGTTTGATTATCATTTTATTAAGCTAGTATTTATTTGAGTTTAGTTTGTTTTATTGATACTCTTTGTTCACACACAACCTATTGAGCTTATTGTATTTACATTCATAGTATTATTTGGGTTGTGGGGTTTGTGTGACATTGAGTGTGAGCCTACATTATGTTCTCATCTATTATAGAGAACAAATTTATATTTGTGAGCCTTAATTATAAAGATCACATTGTAATATACTTGTACACCGAGAAAAATGTGTGGTGAGAGACGAGGTCATCCCAAGAGGAGTGGGCTAGGTGGTAATGCCTAGAGGTAGGTTATAATTTCTAACACTTAAGGGAGACACGGGCTAGAAATCAATACTTAGAGGGTGTAAAGTGTGATTGTAAGAGTGTGAGATTATAAAGTTTTTAGTGAACTAGAAAACTAATTGTGAGGTGTAAACGTTGTTTGGGTGAACGTAGAAAATCCGGTTGTGATAGTGGAGATCTTCTCAACGTGAGGAACGGAGACATAGGTCGTGGGGACCGAACTCCGTGATCATATCGTTTGTTTGTGATTGCATTGGCGTACTTATTTTTGTGTCTATATCTTATATCACCTTTGTCTATTGCTTGTTTATACTCCCACTATCTTATTTATTTTTGTTTACCCTTGTGTATATTGCTTATCCTAGCTCATATATCTTGTTGTATTTCATACTTGCTAGGATAACTTGTTAATAAGTTTTTAATTGGCATAAATCAGATTAGGTTAGCATAAATCCTATTCATCCCCCTCTAGGATTCCTTCCTAGTGTCAATAGGGTGCTTTCAATTGGTATCAGAGCTTGGTGCTCTTTGATTTAAGGTCTAATCGTCTTGAGTTAAAGATCCAAGTTATCTTTTTGTGCTAATCTAGTTTTAAGATTTATTGTAATCTTGCTTGCACATTTTTCATTATGGATATGAGATTAGGCTATGAGCAAAATGTTGCTCCTAAAATAGATAAGTTCCCCTATGACCAATGGTGTTCTAGATTTAATATATTTGTTAGATCTAGACATTTCGATTTATGGGATATTATAGATGAAGCTTATATTGTACCCACTATGGAGAAATCTAAGTA